TACTTAATATATTAATTTCTTGACATTTATATTAATTTGTCTTCTGTAACTTATGGAAGGATTCTTGAAGCAACTGCAACTTTTTGAGACAATGCATTTGCGATGTATAGACAGAATTTTGGTTTTGTCACATGGTAGGGTAGTTTTAGCCAGAGGCATCGGTTGTCTGCATTCGACACATTGTCAATTTGCCGCTGCTCGTCGCGTCTGTTTAAAATCGATCGTGCCGCAGGGCACACATACCTGCCTACCAAATACATTTTCGGTTTACGAGTGCCGTAGACGTCACTCCCGTTCTCTAACAATGCGCTAAAAAAATAGTCGTTTTGTTCGATTTCTGCTCGCTGCCAACATATTTTGGGTCATATGTATTAGTGCATCCAATGATTTTTAAAAATATACATATAACAATTTTTCAATCGAAGTTATTTTCACCATTTTCGCGTTTATTTTGCTTGATATTTTGTATTTACATTCAAATAACTGTATCCGCCATTGATTTAATCGAGATCCTTAGACGTGTTTTCCTACTTGTATTTTCTTAAACGTTTCTTCTATTGATAAAATAAATATGCGTTTGTTCCTTATAGCTTAAACATTAATGTACAAACAGTTAATTATAATGTTTTATGTTATATGAATTATATTTATTTTGTTTCAAGAGAGAGAGAGAGAAACGTATTACATTAAAATATACAAAAAGATAAGAAGATTCATTTTCTTCATTTTTTTTCCTTTCTGCAATATTCTATATTTCATTCCTCATAATTATCAGAAACACATTGAAAATAGCTCATTAAATTCAAAGAAATTCAAAGAATTCTTTTCTTGTAATAATTGAAACTAAGATTGCGACGTAGGAAGTGGAAGTAAAAATTCAAATTTAATTTCTGATTAACTAGCAATCTTGCTAGCCTGAATATCGTGATCATTGAAAATGAGAACCACAAACGCGGTATATTTGAAGTATGATGTGACTGAGAATTCCGTACAGGCGAGCAGCGCATTCCGCGTGATATCTATTTCATTATGAGAGAGATTCCACAGTATTTTTGCAATTATATGCAGCGATCATCGCCACTGGTTACACAGGTTATATCGTTCATATTGTGTTTGCGAATATTGTCGCAATATAGTCGAAATTTCTCGGGGACGGCCCTGTGATCGAATACTCGGACCAGCGACGTTAATTATCTTTAATCCAATTAGCTATGTATTTGCATATGCCGACTACGATGTTTTCGAGCGTTCATGTCTGCACTCATTAGCGGTGGATATGATGCAAATAAACGAAAAATAACTTCGCAAGAGATACTTGGAAAGTATAATTAATAATTACATCACCATTATACGTGCAATATTTCTTCACGCATGATAAAATATCGTTGTATAAGCCTCTCCATATTGTTGTGAATTGTTTATGCAACTATTTAATATTATTCTGAATTTCGGCGAATGTTATATCTGGCTGTAAATAAAAATAAATAAAATTCATTGTAAATAATGAGATAAAAATTGGGTACTGATTATCGTTGAATAAGAAAGTCTCTAAAATACTAAAATGTGTAATGATGCTAATCAAAAGATAGGTGTAAAATATTAAATTTTGTCAATTAAAACCATCGTTAATTATTCTCAAATTAATGAGAGAATGTATAAAACTTGGACAGCGCAACTACTTTATCGTGTTTATTAAATTTCTTTGATCATTCTCTTATCCCCTCTTTCGCACAAGAAGTAATATGACTATGTGCACGTCCCTTACGAACTATGACGTAAAATGCAAGAATTTATCACTCTTTTTGACAGTAATTATTTAATGTATAGAAAATTTACACACACACACACACACACACACACACACACACACACACACAGTAC